TAGCTCACAAAGTTGAATTTTTGCTCACAAGACTCCACAGCTTAGAGGAAGCATTGTTCCTGACGCATCGTTTCCGCTTTGGAAACAAGCGGAGGTCGAAGACGGCCGAGAAGAATATCAGAGCAGGAAGGTCGGATCCCTACACCCACCACTCCGGACTTCCTTGGTGGTCTCCCACCCAAGTACTAACCGGGGCCGACTCTGCTTAGCTGCTGAGATCTGAGACGACGGACTAGCCGGGGCCATCCAGGTCAGGGCTGGAGCTGTGTGCTAGCAGGGCACGAGAGGAGGAGAACGGATAGCCAGGGACGACAAAAGATGACAGTGTGCAGACACAAACAGAAAGAGCGGGGCAGCCACAGTGCCTGATCCCCGGAAACCTCTCCCTGCCTTGCTAAGCAAACATGTCACAGGAGGGCCAAATGAATGATGATCGTAGAAAAGGGAGGAGGAGGAGGAGACCAGTGTTCCCTCTAAGCTGAGTTGGTGTGAGCTAGCTCACAGTTTTTTAGCCTCCGGCTCACGCATCTTTGTCTTAGCTCAGGAAGGATGGGCTCCAGAGCAAACTGATTTATGCAGCAGCCCAGTCGCTCGCTCAGAACATTAAAAGGAGTTCAGAAAGTAGCATTTTTGCTCACAAGACTCCGCAGTTTAGAGGGAACATTGGCAGAGATTGGATTTATACCCTGCCCTTCACTACCCGAAGGAGTCTCAGAGTGGCTCACAATCCCCTTTCCCTCCCCCTCCCCACAGCAGACACCCTGTGAGGTCGGTGGGGCCGAGAGAGCTCTTTCGAGGACTGCCCTTGAGAGAACAGCTCTGAAATAACCTGTGACTGACCCAAGGTCACACCAGCAGCTGCATGTGGAGGAGTGGGGAAATCAAACCCGGCTCTCCCAGATTAAGAGGAGGAGAAGGAGATTGGATTTTATACCCAGCCCTTCACTCGGAGTGGCTTATAATCTCCTTTCCCTTCCCCTCCCCACAACAGACACCCTGTGAGGTCGGTGGGGATGAGAGAGCTCTCTCGAGGACTGCCCTTGAGAGAACAGCTCTGAAATAACCTGTGACTGACCCAAGGTCACACCAGCAGATGCATGTGGAGAAGTGGGGAAATCAAACCCGGCTAGCCCAGATTAGGAGGAGGAGAAGGACATTGGATTTTATACCCAGCCCTTCACTCGGAGTGGCTTACAATCGCCTTTCCCTTCCCCTCCCCACAACAGACACCCTGTGAGGTCGGTGGGGATGAGAGAGCTCTCTCGAGGACTGCCCTTGAGAGAACAGCTCTGAAATAACCTGTGACTGACCCAAGGTCACACCAGCAGATGCATGTGGAGAAGTGGGGAATCAAATCCGCCTCTCTCAGATCAGAGTCTGCACTCCTAAGCACTACTCCCACCAGTTCCAACAGAGCATGACAATTCTGTCCGCTCTTACAAATCTGGGTAAGAGCCATGCCTTTTCCTCAAGTATGGGGTCACAGACCTCCATGAATAAGAAGGGACATGAGAGAGATTGATAAAATTATGCAAGGGGTGGAGAGAGCCAACAAAGAGAAATTTTTCTCCCGCTCCCCAAATGTTAGATCTTGAGGGCATCGAATGAAGCCGATGGGCAGTAGGTTTAGGACAGACAAAAGGAAAGAGAGCCAGTTTGGGGTAGTGGTTAAGAGGGGCGGACTCTGATCTGGGGAACCGAGTTTGATTCCCCACTCCTCCTCCACATGCAGCCAGCTGGGTGACCTTGGATCAGTCACAAGTTCTCTCAGAGCTGTCCTCTCAAGGTCAGTTCTCAGAAGAGCTCTCTCAGCCCCACCTACCTGACAGGGTGTCTGTTGTGGGGAGGGGGAGGGAAGGAGATTGTAAGCCGCTCTGAGACTCTGAGTGAAGGGCGGGGTATAAATCCAATCTTTTCTCTTCCTCTTTACAGAGAGAGCGATTAAAATGTGGAATTCACTGCCAGTGGATGTAAGGATGACCTCAAAGGTGGTTAGATAGATTCAGAGAGGATAAGTCTATTGATGGCTACTAGCCCTGGTGACTGAGAGGAACCTCCACATTCAGAGGCACTAATCCTCTGAATCCCAGAGATAGGAGGCAACATCAGGGGAAGGCCTTGGCCTCCATGCCCTGTTGTTGGCCCTCCAGAAGAACTGGTTGGCCACTGTGTGAGGGAGGATGCTGGACTTGATGGACCCTCCCTGGTCTGATCCAGTAGGGCTCTTCTGAGGTTCTTCTCAGGGGAAGGCCTCGGGCTCTCTGCCCTGTTGTTGATCCTCCTTGGAAACTGGTTGTCCACTGTGTGGGACAGGATGCTGGACTAGATGGACCACTGGTCTGAGCCCGCAGGGCTATTCTTATGTTTTTAAAACCAAACACCTTTGTCGCTCCACCCCCCTTCACGTAACAGATTCTGGAGTAGCCAGCACGATTTACACTCCCCCCACTCCGCTGGTCTAATTTGGGGGGGAGGGAGGCGGTAACGGGACGATATTCCTGCGGACCCTTTTTTTTTTGACCCCCCCCAAAAAACCGGGGGGGGGGGGGGACCCCCTGCCCTTCGCCGAGCCCAGCCACCACGACTCCAATAACAATTATAAAAATGTCTCATAAAACCATGCATGTAATGTCAATTAAAATCTTGAAAAGCAGAAATTAAGTGGGAGAGCAGCCTTAAACTTTACGGCTTCCTCTGCAGGAGCAGAAGCAGCGTCAATAAAAGTCATTTCGAATGAAGGAGAGAACAGTAAATATTAAAGAAACGGGCGTCTGGGCGCACGCGGGGCCGAAACCCCGACAGCGACTCGAGACCCGAGCATCACGCCGGGCCGGGCTCCCCCTTGTTAGCCTCCGGTGGGAATGCGAGACGCTCGCTGCTGACTGTCCATAAAATGTCAGTTAAAGGCCGAGACGACAAATGCGTTTAACAATAGGTCATTATGGGTCGTTATTGTGAGAGATTTCCTTTTGCCTTCAAGCCGAGGAACTCTTCCTCCAGCCAGCCAAATTGTGGCTAGCAATTCACCGTTTTTTTTTTAAGATTATAGGATTTGAATGGTATTTACCAGGGGTCATTTCGTAGAAAAAGAGGTGCAGGAGCTCATTAGCATAACTCAGCATAACTTATTTGCATATGTCACACCCCCTGACATCACCAGAAGTGTGCCAGAAGGCAACACCCACCGCTCAGGCTCCACTGGACTGCTTTGGATTGCTGGTTATTGGCGGGTGTGTGTGTGTGTGTGCAGATCTGTCTTTGCAGAGGAGGGAGAGCTTGTACCTGAATAAAACCTGGTCTTAAAGGTGCCACTGGACTGTTGGGGAGGGGGGCTCTGCAACTTACCTGGCTGCTTCTTGCTCCTCATGCTGGGAGCTGCTGCTACTGGGAACAAAGGGAGGGGCTTGTTGCATGTGCCCGCCCCCTGGGCTCTTTACTGCCGGAGCTCCGCTCCTGTGCGCTCCTGCAGGAAATGACCCCTGGTATTTATGTTGGGGGAGGAGCCATGAAAACTCTTCGCTGGTGGAACGGGCAAAGGATATCCCCAGGGGTCATTTTGAGGGGGAGCGAGCAGGAACGGTGTTCCGGGAGTAACAAGCCCAGGAGTGGGCACATATGGCAGCGGTCGTAGCCATATCGCAGCTCCTTTTGCCCAGTTCCCTCAACCCCTGAGCAGCGGGTGTTGCCTTCTGACACACAAATAAGTTATGCTAATCAGTTATGCTAATGAGCTCCTGCACCCCTTTTTCTATGAAATGACTCCTGGATATCCCCAAGATTGGAATTTGCAACGGCTGGATGCTTTGTGCACAAACGGCCACTGGAGACAATTCCTGAACACTTGGGTGAAAAGGATCTTCGAAAAGACTTCTCTCTGCCCGAGGTCTTGGGGGGCAAACCGGGGGGGGGGGACTTGACGGCCACGCCAAGCTGCATAGTGTGGTGCAGTCGTTATAACGTTGGGCTAGAACCTGGGAGGTTCTGGATTCAAGTCTCCACCTGGGAAATGTACGACCTCTTCCGAAAAAAAGCTTCTACGGACATCTCCCTGGCTCCACGGCCAGATCTTGGGTGATTCTGCATTGGCTTTTCCCTCCATTGTTTTACCAAACTCAGCTTGGAACAGAAATTCCCCTCTGCATTGCATGCTGCTTTTACTGTCTTGGATCACTGGGTTTTATGGTACCCTCTACGCTGCATGCCGCTTTCACTTTCTTCCAGGGCTCTTTTTGTAGCAGGAACTTCTTTGCATATTAGGCCACACACCCCTAATGTTGCCAATCCTCCAAGAGCTTACAGAGCTCTTCTTACAGGAGCTACTGTAAGCTCTTGGAGGATTGGCTACATTAGGGGTGTGTCGCTTAATATGCAAATGAGTACCTGCTACAAAAAGAGCCCATCGGACTCTAATCTGGGAGAACCGGGTTTGATTCCTCACTCCTCCACTCGCAGCTGCTGGATGACCTTGGGCAAGCCATAGTTCTCTCAGAGCTGTCCTTGAAAAAGAGCAGTTTCTCCCAGAGCTCTCTCAGCCCCACCCACCTCACAGGGTGTCTGTTGTGGGGAGGGGAGGGGAAAGGAGTTTGTAAGCCACTCTAAGACTCCAAGTGAAGGGCGGGGTATAAACCCAATCACCTCCTCCTCCTCCTCTTCTTCATAGATTTATGGCCGTTCAGTGGAGACTTTGCAGTCAGTATGGTGTTGTCCTGGGATATCTGAATGTGGTTTTGAGCTGCACCTTTTCTTCAGCGTTGAGAAAATGTGGAGCAAATGCCAGATACAGAATTGCCTCTCGTTTCATTTCATGCTTATGCAGAAGACGGGGGGCAAACGGCGAGAATAGGAGAGTTTGTGCTTCATCTCTGGCTAGACCCAACGGAGGTACCAATGGCATCTAGATCGAGCGTTGGCCTCGCGGGCTTGTCGACCAGGCCGATGCCCGTACGTACGGGACGACGGGGGGAAACAGTATAAAAAGCATTTCAACTAATTGTTCTCACCTGGAAGAGTATCTGCAGAACCCCGTGGACGATGCACATGCGCCGTCCCAGGAAGATGAAGAACGGCACCACCAGCTCAACGAAGTGGTTGACGAGGGTCTCGAACTGATGGAACCACACAGGCGACCGATGCATATAGAAGGCGATGGGGTTGGGGACAGGCTGCGTCTGGAAGGAGGGAAAAGAAGGTAACAAATCATTGGCCTGCATGGACCTCATTATTATTGCTATAATAATTATTATTGCTATCATCATCATCATTAAGAGAAGAAGGAGAAGAGATTGGATTTATACCCCGCCCTTTGAGTCTCAGAGCAGTTTACAATCTCCTTTCCCTTCCCCACCCCACAACAGACACCCTGACAGGTAGGTGGGGCTGAGAGAGCTCTGAGAGAGGACTGCTCCTGAGAGAACAGCCCTGAGAGAACTTGCTCACAACTTTAATGCCAGTAGCTCACATAGTAGAATTTTCGCTCACAAGACACCACAGTTTAGAGGGAGCATTGATCCCAATCTCCCCAACTCCTGGTTCAGTACCCAGGTTCTAGGTCCATGAACCTCTACCCCACCTGGAAGGTCTCTACAATGAAGGAGAAGGAGGAGATTGGATGTATACCCCGCCCTTCACTTGGAGTCTCAGAGCAGCTTACAATCTCCTTTCCCTTCCCCTCCCCACAACAGACACCCTGTGAGGAAGGTGAGGCTGAGAGAGCTCTTTCGGGAACTGCCCTTGAGGAAACAGCTCCGGGAGAACTTGTGACTGACCCAAGGTCACCCCAGCAGCTGCATGTGGAGGCGCGGGGAATCAAAGCCGGTCCTCTCAGATTAGAGTCCACGCTCCTAACTGCTACACCAAACTGGTTCTGCTTTGCTTCTGGCAACCAAGGGCAGATCTACAATGAAACTAATAAAGCTTAAGCTTCAGGGCCCCTAATCCTGGAGGGGCCCCAAAGCAACTTGTTTATTTAAATAAGTGGATTTTTCAACAAAATTGATGGAGCTTTTTAAAGTGTTTGTTATTAAAATACGGCTATTTTAGTGACAGAATCGTAAGCTGATAGGTTGAAGTACTTAATGTTGACCTTAAAATCTATATATCTAATAGCCAAGCTGCCCCCTCTGTGCGGATATCTAAATCCACACATCGGGGGCACATCGGGGGCAGAGAGATTTTTTTTCACACTTGGGGCAGTCCCAGGTGTGCAGAAAACTCTGAAAAGTTTAAAAAACTATAGGGGGGATACTTAAATCCCCCCCAAAGTAAAAAACCATTCCCTGCACATGCGCAGAGAATGCACTTACCCCTGGGATCTGTGGCAGAGCCACGCAGAGCTCACCGCGGTTGGTGCTGGCGGTGGCAGCGGGGGTGGAGAAGCCTTGGCGGTGGGGGTGGCGGCTAGGAGCCACAGCCGTTGCCACTGTCGGAGACGGGGGGGAGAAGCCTGGCAGGCCCCGCAACCAGGAGCTGAGCCCATTGTTGCCATGGCGGCGGGGGGGGAGAGAAGCCTGGTGGGCCTGACGGCTCACAGCCACACAGGGCTTGCCACTGTTGTTGTGGGTGGCGGTGGCGGGGAGAAGCCTTGGCAGCCCGGGAGCCGCGGGGAATACACCCACCCCACGAGCATCGCGGGTCCTGCTTCTTGTATGCTCTAATACCCATTTCATGCGGCCTCAAAAGGGCCCTACTGTTGCTGGTTGCGAAGGGGCCCCCATGACAGTTCAAGCTTCGGGGTCCCAAAGATGTAGGTCCGCCACTGCCTGCAATGCTCCGTCACTTCTTTTTTACACAGGAGAAGATCCCGGAAAAGAAGGGCCACAGGGCCTCTGATACGGGTCGCTGACGCCATCTATGCCAGATACCAGCTTGGATTTGAACCCAAAGCCTCCTGGGCCTGTGGCCTGTTGCCCCCGGGGGTGAGCCACATAAGTCACAAAGGTAAACCTTTATTTATTTTATTTTATTTTTATTTATCCTTGGATTTATATCGTGCCCTACCCTGAAGTCTTTAACACATGTACGCTATGTTATAAATGTATACCTGGCATTTCCAGACCCAAGTTTGTCACATTTGTCAGCGTACACTTAAAAAAAAAAAAGTAATGTGTGAAGAGGCTCTGGCATGCAATTATGCAGTTTTGGGCACCACCTTTTAGGAAGGACGTTGACGAGCTCGAGCGTGTCCGGAAGAGGGCAACCGGGATGGTGAGAGGGTTGGAATCCAAGTCTTACGAGGAAAGGCTGAAAGAGTTGGGTCTGTTTAGCCTGGGAAAGAGAAGGCTTAGAGGGGACATGATTGCAGTCTTCAAGTATTTGAAGGGCTGTCATGCAGAAGATGAAGCAGATCTATTCTCTCTTGCTCCGGGTTGCAAGACTGGATCTAATGGGTGGAGGCGATACCGGCTAATTATCGGGAGAGACTTCCTAACTGTGAGAGTGGTTGAGCAGTGGGACAGACTGCCTCGGGAGGTGGTGGAGGCTCCTTCACTGGACGTTTTCAAGCAGAGGCTGGACGACCATCTTTCGGGTATGTTGTAGGGCTCTCTTTCGGCTGTGCTCCTGCAGAGTGCAGGGGGTTGGGCTGGATGACCTGCAAGGTCCCTTCCAACTCTTAACATTCTATGATCAACTGCTCCTGAACATGGAGGTTCTGTGTAACTGCCGTGAAGCACTCTTGTCACACAAAAGATGGCACAAACCTGTTTCCTCCGGCTCCGGGGGGGGGGGGGGCACACTGGGCAGAACTAGAACGGACAGGTGGAAATCACACAGAAGCAGATTTTGGCTAAGTATTAGGAGAACCTTCCTAATGATAAGAGACGTTCACCCTTAGGGAGGTTCGTATGCCAAGGCTGGACTGACAGCTCTCCGGGCCGTAAAGATGCAAATCTTTGCACTGAGCGGGGGGTTCGACTGCATGACCTCCGAAGGACCTTCCGACTCTGTGACTCCATGAGATGGACGGTAGAGTCTAGGGCTGCCAGACTCCGGGTGGTTGGCTGGAGACCTCCTGGAATGACAACTGATCTCCGGGCGGCTGAGATCAGTTCCCCTGCAGAAGACGGCTGCAGAGGAAGATGGAACAGATAAAAGGGTGGCGCTAGGGTTCGAGACCCGGGTGCCGCATGACGGAGTGAGCTCCCATCTCTAGTTCCAGCTCCTGCCAACCTAGCAGTTCGAAAGCAAGAAATTGCAAGTAGATAAATAGGTACCACTTTGGTGGGAACATCTGGAGCGGAGGCAGTGTTCCCTCTAAGCTGAGTGAGTGTGAGCCAGCTCACAGTTTTTCAGCCTCTGGCTCACACATTTTTGTCTTGGCTCAGGAAGGAGGGCTCCAGAGCAAACTAACTGATGCAGTGGCCAAATCGCTCACTCACAACTTTGAATGCCAGGAGCTCACAAAGTAGAATTTTTGTTCACCAGACTCCGCGGCTTAGAGGGAGCGTCGACTACAGGTGGCCCTTCTCGGCTCTTTGGCCAGGAGCCCAGCACCACCATTAACAGGACAGACCCACAGGAACTGACCTCTCGTTGTCATCCCACGAACGATAAACCCAGGATTTAAAAAAACGTGGCCTCGGGAAAAGGATGCACGGATGACTCGCTCAGCGCCACGAAACAGCGGAACAATGGCCAACCACCACCACCACCACGAGGCCTGGCTCCGGATCTTCCTTAGCGTATCTAACACGGGGATACATTCTTTAGCAATGTTTTCTTTGGGGTGTGTGTGTGTGAAGAACCCTGAGAGGAAAACAAAGTGGTGGGGGGGGGGGACGGCCGATCCCTATCGAAGGAGACGCAACACATCTTTAAACGGTTTGCAGTTGAAAAACACAACACACACACACACACACACACAAACCTTTTTAAAAGATTCCAAGCGGCGCACGGGGAAATCAGCTCGCAGAGTGGAGGCGCATCGCTCCCGAGCCAGCTGCCAATCCCGGTAACGAGTGCAATTCCTTATTAGCAAAGCTGGAATTAATCACGGCATTGCTTTCTATGGCTCGGAGGCCCTTGCGCTCCCCTCGGGGGACCGAAGACCGCATCCTTCCTTCCGCTGACACCGGGGGCAGGATGGAACGAGCTGAGGGGTCCAGGGAGGTAGCCAAACTCCTACACCACGGGGTCGCGAGGTCAGGGGGTTGCCACATCCGGAGGTCAGAGGACTGGGGCCGGGGGTGGTGGTGGCTAGAGGCCCCCCCCCCACGGGAGCTGGTTTGAGTTAGTCTGGAGGCCGGGCCTCGGAAAGGCCGGGTCAAATCCTTCCCGCTGGATTCCACCCAGCTGGGATATCAAGTTTCTTCCCCCTTCTTTGAAATGGGGAAACACCTTTGCCCGAGATGGTGTTATTCACACATGGCCTTACCTCCCCCATCAGTTCCGTGGGATGTGATTTTTATCCAAGGAGCGTGAAAGTCAAGAGACACTGCCAGTGGACAGACAGCATCGCCCAGATCCGGGGGGGGGATGTAACAATTGCACACATCGCTCGCAAGACCCCTAATACGTACACTGTCAATGTGTATCTGCCACGTGAATGTTTTAGTGACCTGCCTGCCAAAAGGGCCCCAGCGTGGTCATTTGTGGCAAGGGACGACCACACCACGGAGACCACAGAACAAAGCTCGAGAGCCCGTTTGGTGTCGCGGTTAAGTGCGTGGACTCTGATCGGGGAGAACCGGGTTTGATTCCCCACGCCTCCACTTGCATCTGCTGGATGACCTTGGGCAAGCCAGAGTTCTGTCAGCTGTGATTTCTCACAAGCAGTCCTTGAAAGAGCTCTCTCAGCCCCACCGACCCCACAAGGTGTCAGTTGTGGGGAGGGGAAGGAGTTTATAAGCCGCTCTGAGACGCCAAGTGAAGGGCAGGATATAAATCCAATCTCTTCTTCTCTTCTTCTTCTTTCAACTGATGCATTTCTTTCTGACCATCAATAAATCAGCTACGAATGATTAGCTGGTGTTCCCATTGGCTCGCAAGCATCCCTGCAGGCTGGACTTCTGGGCACAGCCGGAAAATACGCAGCGAATGTCTCATTTGGAATAGTAGACTGGAATAGTGATTGTAATGTAACACAATGAATGTTGGAATGTATTTCTCTGATCTGGTGACAGAGGAGACATAACACTGCACAACCATTCACTCAGTCTCAAGGAAAAGGATG